AACGGTCCTGCTCCCGCTGGACACCTTGAAGAAGTAAAAGGTGTTTTGGCAGGTGGAGGGATTGCCCCCACCCCGCTCCTTGCCGCTGCTTTCCATCCCTGGTAGCCCCAGTGTTACTCACAGAGCTGGTGTAAAACTAAAGGAGTCTTCAAAATATAGAACAGGTTTTAGAAACAGCCAGAGGTTTTGAATTTTCAGTTTGAGTTGTCAGTTTCGCCCAGCAGAGCAAGGCTCTGCCGCTGAAACCCAGCTCCTCTGTGAGCCCCTGGGCACTGCAGAAACAGCTCAGTGGAGCTGTTTCAATTATTTTTCTCCAAAACCTCCTTGGAGAAGTTGTGGGGCCACAGGAACACAAATGCCTGGTTCAGAAAGGCACCTTTGGAGGGGCTCTCAGCAATTTCCACTCCAAGGATGCCTTTGTGTGTCTGCTGTCCCCATTTCCTCAGAGTTGTTTGAAGTGCCAGCACTGCTGCTGACTCCCCAGGGGACACGGTGTCCATCAGCTGCAAACCTGCCAGAAAAAAGCTTTAGGCAGACAGCACAGCCAACCTTCCCTGGGGACAAGAGGTCCTTTGTGTCCTCTGCTATGGAACAATTTTTTCAGGACTCGTTTGCCCTCTTTCTGCCCCCCCCTCCCACGGCCCTGTCCGTGGAGTATCCCCCCTTTTCACACCTTGGGGTGCTAACAGCTGCTTCCCACGGCAGGATATGCCCACCAGTGAGGTGGAGCACTGGTTCCAGCAGGTGGTGGTGGCAGTGGAGTGTGCAGGAAGCGAGGGGAGCACAGCCAGAGGCCAGCACACAGCCCGGCTGGAGGAGATCTACCGGGCCCTCCTCAGCTCCTCGCAAGCAGGTGAGCTCCAGCCAGCCATTCCTGGTGGGATGGAGGAGCAGCTGGCAGGCCCTTGCCTCCCTGCTGTGCCTCTGCCATGCCCTCCCACAGGTGTCCATCCCCACCTTCCCTCTGCCTCTGCTTTAGCAGCAGGACCAGGATCAGGTCCTTGCAGGGACCTGATGGAAAACTGGCAGTGGAAGGCCAATTTGTCACCTGAGGAAAGGGACTGTGGCAGTCTCTGCTCCTGATTCAGCTGTCTCTGTTGTTTGCAAAGGGTGTCAGAGGTGTCTCTACCTTTTGGAGGCAGTGAGCTATTAAAATGTGTCACTGCTTTTCCCAGAGCCATAATGGGTTTAAAAGACATGGTGGTGGTGGGACCAGAGGTCTCCCTTGTGATGAATGTTTGATTTATTCTGCACCCCCTCTTCTCTTTGCAAAGCAAGGTCCTTCACTTGCCTGTGTTTCAGCCTCCCCATTTTCATTCCTCCCTTCCACTCACAGTGATTTGTGAGAGCAGAGGCCTGTGATTACAGCCTCACATCTGGCCAGAATTGGTTCCCCAGGGTGGGAGAGCCCCTGGGGCTCAGCAGAGACTCTCTCAGCCAGCGTCTGGCGCTCAGCACTGGGGGTTTCATGACACTGGGTGGGGAAAATGCTCCTGTGTGTTACAACCTTGTTTCCCCCAGGCAATGTTCCCATGGGAGGGCTGCAGGACACACCTCTGCCCAACCCCACCATCAGCTTTCACCTCTGGACAGAAGAAAACCAGCTCTGTGAGTGCCCCAGGGGGGCTGTGGGGAACTGGGGCTGTGCCTGAGGGTGGGGGTCCTCTGCAAAACATGTCATTTAGCCCTGACTCCTGAGCAGTGAGTTTTGTAACCATCACCCAAGGGCCCAGCTCATGGAGATTTGTGCTGACTGCACCAGACTTCCTTCTTGTGGGCTGCTGATCAGGGGACTAGGGGTGTAATGGGCCAAAGGAGATGAGGAGAGGACCAGGCTGCAGCAGGATGTGTCCAGAGTACTTGATTTTGTTGTGGATGCCCCATCCCTGGAAGTGTTCAAGGCCAGGCTGGATGGAGCTCTGAGCAACCTGGTCTAGTGGAAGGTTCCCTGGCCATGGAAGGGCACTGGAATGAGATGATCTTCAAGGTCCCTTCCAACCCAAACCATTCAATGAGCCTAAAATTCTCTGATTTGAGTGACACTGAGCTCTCTTCACGGTGCAATGTGAAATGGGATTGAAAGACAGACTTCCCTTGGGCCCACTGGTAGAGATATTTGCCTTACAGTTTGCCTGAGAAGAGGGAAGCCGGGGCAGGGCAAGGGCTCAGCCTGGATTTTGTTGGATTTCCCTCCCCAAACTCCTCTGTGCCCGCAGGGAAGGAGCTGGTGCTGTTCATCCGCCCGCTGTCGCAGAGCTGCGAGCCCGACTGCCTCGGCCAGGACCTGGACAGCTTCGAGATCCAGGACATCATCTCAGACTGTGAATGCTGCGAGCAGACCCGCTTCTCTGTCCTCTCCACCGACAGTGGGATCGAGCGAGACCTGCCCGTGGCAGCGGAGGAATCCTTGGCCCCTTGCGGTGCCGAAACGGAGCAATCCCGGCTCCACAGGAGGGGCGGCATCAAAAAAAAGCCATCACCGCTGGAGAGCGTGGCCTTCCTGCAGGCTGGCTGCAGCAGTCCCGGGGTGAAGCCCTCGGTGAAGCTGCAGAAGAGATCAGGAACCCCCCAGGATGCTGCAGCCCCGCTGCAGAGGCTGCACACTGCCCGCATCGTGCTGCTGGGGGACGACCGCATCCTGGGGCGCCTGGCCCAGGCCTACCACTCTCTGAGGTCAGTGGTGACCTCAGCCTCCTGGGCTCTGGGGGCTTGGGGATGGGCAGGACAGAGTGGGGGCTGTGCTCCTCGGCCTCTTGAAGCAACCAGGATGGCTGGGGATGGGGTTGGGCTCCAGTGTCACCTGGAACAGGATGGGACTCTGGTGTTTGGCACTCACTGGCTGCATGGCATCGATGCACACAGCGAGTTCTTCCCTCTGTCCATGGAATGGGTTAATAAAGAATAATTGAGGCAAGATGTTTTCCTGTGGGAAAGGGAAAAATTCTAAAGAAAAGCCATTTTCCAGCTGGTTCACCTGGGCCAGGAGAGCAGCATGGGGTGGGTCTAGGCTGTGGTGCAGGCAGCAGCCTGTGGGGCAGAGCTGGGTGCAGAGGGACCACGAGTCCAAGAAAAAAATTCTGTCTCTGGCTCCCCAGCATCTCCCTGTGCTCAGTGAGGGAACCCAGGGGCATTACTGCCATCCTGTCACACTGGGCAAAGGGAGGCACACGAGGAGGGCACACGCTCCTGTTGCAGGGCAGCCGCAATCTCCTGGCACTGCCCAGCCTTGGCCAAGGGCCACGTTCTTCCCTCTTCCCCTTGGGACACAAGTGTTTGTTTTTCCATTTCAAGGAAACGGGAAACGCGGCGGGTTTTTCTGACTCCCAGGCTGAACCTGCAGTTCTACTACATCCCGGTGGTGGCAGGGCAGCCAAACACCTCGGCTGTTGTGGTGAGTCTGAGCGTGGCAGCTCCGGGTGCTGCTGCCAACTGCCAGCAAGTGCTGACGGTGTTTTTGGAGGGAGGGTGGAATTCCCATCCGTTCATGTCCTGTTCCCAAAACAAGGAGGATGGGAGCCAAGTCAGCGGGGCTGGGCTCTGTTTGCAGACTGGTTTTGGGAACCCATCAGCTCCACAGACATTCAGGTTGCTCCAACCTGCCTGATGGGTGGCACTTCATTCAGTTCTGCTTCTATGACCCACCTATAGGAGGACTGATGAGGTTTAGCAAAGGACTTGGGCTTTTCCCACCTCCTAAATGCTTAGGGGAAGCAGTTGCTTCTCACTTAGGGCTTTGCCATCCTCTCTGGACCAAGCAGGGAAGGGCACAGCTCCCTCTGGCTTCTCTGTGGCTCCTGGTATATCCCCTGAGCTGTGTTTCTCCCCACAGGACCACCCTTCCAGCAGCCACGAGGAGCTGTGTGAGGTGGCCGGGTACCTGGGCAGAGCCGACCCGTGGTACGAGAGCAACATCAACACCCTGTGCCACGTGATTCCCAAGCTGGCCACCATGGTACGAGGAAAACCTTCCCACCTCCCCAGGCCCATTTCCCAAGTGCACCTGAGGATGAGTCTGTGCCCCTGCAGGGCCCCAGACAGAGCTTTCCTCCTGCAAACCCTCCCCTGGGCCCTGCAGCTGGAAGGTGTCTGCGGCTGACACTGCCCCAGCCCACCAGCCCCCTTTGCTGTGGTGGGTTTTTTTTTGGCCAAGGGACAGGAAATGGCAGATTTCAAGAAAGAAAAGGTGTTTGCTGAAATACCCCTGGCTCTCATTTCCCGGCAGTTTGAGCTGTCATTGGCAGCCCGCAGAAAAGGCTGTCGGGGGGTGGGGGGCACAGCCTTGGCTTCTCCCATCCGTCTTGAGCACTGCAGAGCCACAGCTCATCCCTCGCTGCTTGTCTAGGAAGGTGTGAGGGTTTGTGGCAGGGTTTTTGAGAAGTGACTGTGGCTGATCCACGGTGTGATTTGCCCCCCTGCCCAGCCCCCCTCGCCAAGCAAACACCTGGTGACCGATCTGTTCATCACCGACATCATCGCCTACTACGTCCGCATGGGCCTCCAGCCCGTCTGCTTCCAGGTCTACGCTGTGAAGGTGGGTGTCAACATCTCCTGAGCCTTCTCATGGCCCTGCAAGGGCTTGTGGAGCTGTGCAGAGTCAGCAGGGCCGGGGGGGGGCTTCCAGCAGATCTGAGCCTGGATCCCTGTGCCCCCCCAGCCTGTCCCTTCCTTGCCAGGCTCCCAGATTCAGTGACTCAGTGTAGCACAGCTCAGCTGGAGTCAGTGATCCTGGAAAGGCTATTTCAGGATCACACAGGTCAGAAAAGTGAGCCTTGGAGGGACACAGATTACCTGCTCTGCTGGATTCAGGGTTGCTCAGGAGCCCTGGTACCTCCTGCTGCTTGCTCTGTGAGGAAATAGGATTTTTCTGAGCAGCTCTGCCAAAACCTTTCTGTATCTCACAGGGGCTTTGCAGGGTTTCCTGAAACACCCTTTTATTTATTTCCTCTCAGCTTTTCTCTGCAAAGGTATCAGAGTGAGACCTGGCATCTGATATGAGAGCCAAGACAAAGTGTCTTCAGGCATGTAACATCAGTGCCCTGCTCTGCTCCTCTGGCAGTTTTCCCCCTTCAAAGCTTAGGCTGGCACTGATGCACAGATCCCCTTTTAATCTACTTGTAGCCACTGTGGCAACAGCACAGGAGCAGCCTTTGAATGAGCAAACTGGCACGGGCAAAGAGCTGGAAGAGCTTTGGTAATTCCTGGTGGAGCATCACCAGGACTTAAACTAATAACCTGTACCCTTATAAAGACCTGAAGCACCTGATCCTCAGCTTGTGTGGCTGGGGATTTTCATTTTTTTGGTGAATTTTTATTCCACTCATTTCTCCTCCAAGGCAAAACCCAACAGCAACTGAGAGAGTGGGTGATTCAAGCAGGGGAAGAGGAACTGAGTCCAGATGTGGTTTTCAGATAGACACACCTAAACTAATCTCTTGCCATGCAGGGTGTGATGCTGCTTCATCTGGAAACACTTGGCCCTGTTTTGCCTTTTTAATTAAGACCAGGCTGTTCCCTTTTGGCTGCTGAAAGCTTCCTAGAAGTGTGAGTCAAGTCCCACAGGAGCTGGATGTAGGGCTGGGAGAGGTTCTCCAGGACCTTCTCTTCACATTTTGCTCAGTACAAGAGCCCAAAAAGAAAATAATTCGTAGGGCTGTAGCGACCCGATGAATTAAGTTATCAGATAGAAATGAAGTACCTTGAAGCTCAGCCAACATCTCAGTCAGGCCTGGGCAGCTGCTCCCTGTGGCCAGGGGGTGGATGGCTGGGAGCTGACTCATCGTGAGTGCACAGTGACATCCAGTGGCAGGGCACACCAGGGCCAGGGTCTGCCGTGTTCCTGGGCTTCAGGGAGCAGAGCCAAAGCAGTTCTCCCCATCCCAGAGGTGTCCTGGCTGCCCTGATGAGGCCACAGGGGACTGAGGAGATGTTCTTAAGAGATTTTCCTCTCTTCCAGGTTTTCTTCAACGACCCGGCACAGGAGCCGGCTGAGGACGTGTTCCTCACGGAGCTGTGCACCCAGGGGCAGGACAGCATCTCCCACAGAGGTGTGTGTGTCCCACCAGGCTGAGCCCTGCAGCAAGGGCTGCCACCCTGGGCTAGGGTCCTGCCCTCTCCAGACCTCACTCACCCTGTCCCTCAGCCTGCAGCAGCCAAGGCCACGTTATGGGACAAGCAGGAGGCTTCCCTAAACACCTCCATCTCCCTCTCAGGCTAAATGAGCCTGAAACCAGGCTAAATGAGAGACCTCGTGGTCACCTGGCTCCTGGTCTCAACCAGCTTTTGTAGGCTGGCCTTTGGTTGGCTCCAGGACCCTCCGGAGTTGGATCAGCACCCTAATTTTGTTGAGGAAATAAGCTGGGCTTTACAGCCATCCCCTTTGCCAGGGGTTTTCCCTATTGCAAATCCAGCTTCCTCGAGGTGCCAGTTATGGAATAAGAGTGCTTGAAGGCTGGGCCATTACAGAGGGCACATCCAGCCCTTCCATCAGTGCACTGTGGTGTCCAAGACAATGGATGTTTGCCACTGAGGCTGGGCACAGACCCTCGACTGAGTCCATCTCACTGGGCCAGCTGAGTGCACAGAGCCCCAGCTCCTGTAGGCAAGGAGAGAAGGGCTGATGTGCCAGACCACTCTGTGGTGGAGGGGGTGGCTCATCCCATGGAAGGACTCCTCTCTGCTCACCACAGATGGGTGGGGTGAGTAAAACCTCAATCCCATTCGGTTCCCTCCTTGCAGAGTTAAGCGTGACCAAGAAGAAAACAACCCTGGATGGCCCTGGCATAGATCTCACAGTAACATACAGAAAGGTAAGCAGGGCTCTCAGCAGCCCAAAATGTCTCTGCTCACAGGGATTCCCCGGCATGGCACAGATCTCCGAAAAGGAGGACTCTGACCCTCCTTCTTTCCTATGGAATTGCTCTCCAGGGGAGGACAGAGAGGTTGTGGTGAGCTCTAAAAGCCTATCAAGGGTTAGCTATCAAGCTGACCCTGTGCTTGTGGAAACCTGCCCCAGATTTCTCCATGTCCAGGTTCTCTGCCAGGGGGAACTAACAGAGCTTTGCCTGCAGGTTGTGGTGAGCGAGCGGGAGAAGGAGCTGGACATGTCCCTGCGCTCCACAGGCCTGGTGATGAAAGCCATCCCTTCTCAGGAGGCTGAAGGTGGGTTCTTCCTGCTTGGAACCATGTGAGGAGGGTTTGCTGAGTCTTCAGGTTCTCAACAGAGTAAATCTGTCCACAGCCCTTAGTGCCAGTTGTGCTTGGGCTGTGGGGTTGAATCAGTGACGGGCAAATACTGGTGTCACCACACTCTGGTGGTGTGTTTGTTTTCTCATGGATGATGTGTCTGAGGCTCAGATATGATCTAAGCTTGGCAGCATCTTCCTTTTTCTCCAGCAATCCTGTTTCACCTTGCCCTGGGAACTTCCCACCCTGAGCATGATCCTACAGGAATCCCTAGCCCTCCTTTTCTGCTGTCCTATGTATCCTACAGGCAGTACACCCAAATTTGGGGGATGGCACCAGGCCTCCTGCAAGCTGAGCTGAGATCCTGCCATGGCCTAAGATTAACACTCTGCTTCTGTTGCAGACCTGGAGTGTCTGAATGTGACCATCACTGAAATCATCAGGACCAGCAACTTGTCAGGAAAGTCGTTCTCAGTAAGTACCTGTGGGATCCTCATGGCCCTGGAGGGGTTGGTCACTGCCTGGAAATCCCTTACAACAGCAGTGAAAGGGGAAACACTCCCTGGGGAGGAGAAGGCTTTGGGACCACCCTGGCTTAGAGAGCATTTTGAAGCTGGTGTTTTTAAGTAGCCAGCACAGTTTTGCTAATTTTCACCTGGCTTTTGGAAACAGGTGCTGCAGCCCACACTGCCCACAAAGATACCCCACAGGCGTGGAGAACAGACCATGCCCCACATCAGACATCCCAAACCTTGTAGCCTCTGCAAGCACTGGAAAGCCTGCCCTTACAAAACTTGACCAGGTTGTGATGGCAGGAAAAGGATTTGCCTTGTGTCACATCTGAGGTTAAAAAATAAAACCAGAGGAACGTCCTCATCTGTCCTGTTCATACCCAGCACCCACATACCACCCACCACTGTGCAGCCAAGGGAGGAGAGGGACACACTCACTGGGCTCCTCCTCCTCTCTCCATCCAGGCTGTGGCAAACAGGTTGAAAACACGAAATATCACGATCAGGAGCACAGAGCAGAGACCCTTCACGGTGTGTCTGGACAAGGACAGCAGAAGAACCTACAGGAACGTGATCAGGTGAGAGTGCCACGTGTGCCAGGCTCTGCCCATCTCCCTGGTGGCCCTGCATCCTTCCTGGGAGGGCTGCTTCCCACGGAGCCCTAGTTCCTCATCCTCATGCAGGACAAAAGGCCTTCTCCAGGGAATGCAGGGCAGAGTGGTGCTTTGTGGTTTTGGGTGATGGTGTGAGAAACAAATTGGTTTTTCACTGTACATAAAGTGCTGTCATTAAGACAGTAGAATAGGTACCTCCAGGGACAAACAGATCCTGGATGTCCTGAATTGTCTCATGAGGCTGATGCTCTCTCCACTGACTGTACCTCTCACCAGGGAGCCTCAAGGGGTAGAGAATCCAGCCCTGTGAAAATAGCAGGGATTAATGTGCCTATAGATGTTGCAGTGACATATGATGTGTTGGAAACAAGCAGGTGGTTCAAGGTCTGAATAACCTGAATTCCCTAGAATCAGACTGGTCCAGGCTGTGGATACTGGTGGTGTGGTCAAACTGACACACATCAACTCATCCTTCCAGCCAAACACAGTTGAAAAAAAAAAAACATGAAAGCAGCTGCACATTTCAGTATGACCACCCTACCTCAGCAGTCAGTGGAGAGACCTGATGTTTGGTCTGGGATGAGGCTCTGGCCCTCCAGGGCAGATCTGTACATGCAGTAAATGAGTTCTTGTGCTCTTGCAGCCTGGAAGTGTCTCCTTGCCTAGAGCCCAGCTACTGCTTGCAAAAGACAAGGACCATGAAATTCAGCCTTCACGAAACAGAGGACGTGGGGCTTGTGAAATACCTGCCCAAGTCTCTGCTCCTGCCCATCAACACGTTTGCAGGTGTCATGCAGTGAGGAAAGCAAGAGAAAGCTGCTGTGGGAGATGTTTCATTGGGCCATCACAGAGGACATGGAAAAGGAAAATGCACTAAAAGGCACCAGTGGAGATTTTCCAGTGGTAATGGTGTGAAAAGCTGCGAGAGCAGAGGTGGATGGGGCTCAGCTGTGCCCTGCTGGGTGACAGTGTGACCACGGCTAACAGCCCCCTGCCAGGGGGCAGGGTCTTGCTGCAGAGCTGAGTTTTAACCTTTTGCACAAGTCAGGGGAAACCTCTGAGCTTCTTCATTTCAGGAGGACTGGGGAGAAAGCCTGGCTGAGGTGGTGGTGCTCACTGTGCTGTGCATCCCAGGGGGGTTGCTGGCAGTAATATTTATTGTGGTGATGTCTCCAGCATGGGATCAGGGCCTGACTGTCGGGTTCTTCACAGGAAACTCCTCATTCTGGCACATGGTGATGTATTTGGGCAAACCAGCAATTACTCCCCTGACTGATTTAGGAAAGCCTGACCACAGTGGGTGGAGAATGTGTGTTCACTGCTGCTTCTCTGGAAGTCACTGGAAAACCTTCTGTTGTTTCAAAGGGGCCGCATGGGATAACAATGAATGGTGTGAAACAGGGACATGGGAAATCTGGTGCAATATTTGGCGGCGAGGAACAGGGCAAGAACTGCTTGTGCTGCCCAGGAAGTGCTGTGGGATATGCTTGGCTCTGCTCAGAGACCTTCACTGAGCAGATATGGAGGCTGCACAGCAGCTCTTGGACATCCGAGCTGTCCCTTGGAGTCCACCTGGGATTTTGCTGTCATTTCACTCTACAACCTCTCTGATTCTTGTCTGGAACCTCACGAGTGCTGGGTGCATCCCTCCAGTTGTACAGCCTGGGAACAACCCCCTCCAGTCCCAGCAGGACTGGACCTCTCCCATGAGCTCAGCCAGCAACGTCTCAGTGTCCCAGCCTGCCTTGCAGTCCTGGTTTGATCTGTGCCTGCTGTGTTGTGCTGAGGAATTTGGGACTGATGGATGGGCAGGATGCCTGAAAGACTTCTTTGTTCCTTTCTCCTACTGCTCCCATGGTGTAGAAACCCTCCCCTAGCCTGCAGATGGGCCAGGCTGAGCAGTGACAGCACAGCTCCTGCTTCCACCAGGCTGGGAGTGACGCAGCGTTCAGGAGGATCCTGGTGGAGGACTTACCTTCATTCCAGGTTTTGGCTGACTGAAATAATGGATGTGTGTGTTTATTGACTTTCTGAATGTGAACTGTGGTTTCTGGAGTCCAGGGAGCCCCCCCCTAAATTCCCACTGGAGGAATTTCGGGGCATTCCGTCTATGACACTATAATTTCTTTATTCTCTTGGCTCCCAAAAATGCGTTACCTGGGCTGCCTTCACTCAGGGGTGCTTGCTTGGATCACCAGCCCAAAGAAAGTGTCCTTTAGCTTTGTATGTGTACATAACAGCTCTTCCATCTCTGGCTGGCACTGCTGGGGAATCCCTGGAGCCAGCTCCGTGCTCCAGGGTGATGCCGACCAGCTGCAGTGGCACTGGAAAATCCTTATTTCTCCCCAAGAGATGGGGCAAATCCACCCCTCTGGCCTGTCCGTGCCAGGTCTGCCCAGCCCTGGGGAGCTGCACCTCTGGAAAGTCACTTCTGTTTAACCACCTACACCTGGAACAAGGAACCCACCCCCCCCAGATCACCCAGTCTGGAGAAGAGTTTCCCTTCAGCAGAACTGCTCTGAGCTTGTGGGTTGTCTTGGCTGGTTAGGCCCCATGGAAATCTTACCTCTATTTCTTACCACATGCATCAGGGTTTAGGGGTTCAGCCCTCCCTGGCCCCTCTCTCTGCCAGCAAGCACAGGGCAGCTGCATTCCTGCTCCTGTCACCTGGCACAGCGGGCATCGCCCCTTCCTGTGCCCAAGCTAAAGGTTGATTTGCTCTCACTCTGAGTGTCTCATGCCACCCCAAACAATTGCTGAAATGCACTCCTGGGGGCACAGCAGCTCCAGAGCTCTCAGCAGGTGGCAGGTGTCTTAGCAGTGTAAAAAGCCACCAGGCCCCAAGAAATATTTAATCCTGAACCTGCACCAACAGTTGAAAGATCACCCTGGGCAACAGCAGCATGACCATTTCCAAAGGAAGCTGCCTTGGAATGCTGGCAGATGTAGCCACTTGCTCCTGGCAGAGCCAAGCACAGTTCTCAAGCCTTAATGTCCCCCACAGGAGAGACAAGGCTGCAAGGTCTCAGCAACAGCATCTGCTCCTTCAGAACTATTTTTCACCTCACAAATCAAAAATTGTTGATGCTCACCTGCGCCAGACTTGGGCAGGAAACATTCTGGCCCTGAAGGAAGCTGAAGGTAGACAGGAGGCTCACAAACAAGTCAGGAACAGCCTGCTTGCACCAGCTGTTCTTCTGTGTAAGCTGGGATAATATGGAATTTGAGTGACTAGTGGCTCTGCACACATTTGCCTCTTTGGGGGGGGTTGTGCACCCCAGCACACAAGAAAAATGCTTAAAAAGCCACAAGACTCTGAGCTGGGTTGGAGTGTGCTCTGTGGCATCCAGAGTTTACTTTGTACAGTTGTAAATGATGTAGATGGAGTATAAATTATTTGTATATATAAGAATGATCTGTATCAGAAGGTGCAATCCTTTTAATGCCAGATAAAAGAAATTAGGTGAAAAAAAAAAAAAAACAACAGCAGAAACTGTTGTTGTGGTTTTATGTTTCTCTGTGCCTGGGGTGGGTGGGGAATGAGCTGGTAGGACCAGAAAGTCACCACTGTCCTTTGGCCCTCTTGGCTGGTGTCTCCTCCCCACCTTGGGGCTCCAGGTTGTGTTACAGAGAGAGAGAGACTTCATGACCAAAGAAGTCATTTGTGAAGGATGGGCAGAAATGGTTGAATTGCAGCAATCTGGAAGCAGTGCTCTGTGGCTCCATAACCCCCCTGATCCCCCCCTGTGCTGAGACACTCTGTCCCCACAGTCTGTTCCCCTCACAGTCTGTCACTTCAAAGCAACTCATTCCCTTAATGAGGCTCGTCACCTGAGGGTGGGAAAGGGGTGAACCATTTGCTTTCTGCAAGGATCCCCTAAAGCCCACTGACCCTACTGACCGCAGGAACTGCTCATCAGTTGAGCAGAAACAGCTCACAAACTTGTGCTAATGAATCAGCACAGTTGTGAGAAGAAGAATTTCACAGGTTGTTTCATTTACTCCTGGAGACCACAGGCAGCAAATGCAGATCCCAGAGCAACCATAGCACAGGGACAGTGTTCAGGTGTGCCCTGTACCCAAAAGTTGCTGGCTTTGGAGCAGATTCATCTTCTGTACCAGGTCAAAAACCCGGAGAAACAATAGCAAGTGTTCCCTTGGTTGAATGGCACCCTCAAGGGGTGAGAGTGGGCACGACTACCTGGAGACTGGGAGAGCACAGAAACCTGAGTGCAGGGTGCATTCATAAACAGCAGAGCCTGGAGACACAAATCCTCCTGGCACAGCTGTGTGAGGGGCTTTACCTGGCAGGATTCCTCACCTCACTGGAGACTCCCAGCCCTTCAAAGTCCCTGCTGAATATCTTTATTTACATGGTTATTATAGAATGGTTTGGGTCGGAAGGGACCTTAAACATCATTTTGTTCCATGGGCAGGGACACCTTCCACTCTCCCGGTGGCCTGGGACACATCCAGGGATGGGGCAGCCACAGCTTCTTTGGGCAATCTGTGCCAGGGCCTGCCCACCCTCATAGGGAAGGATTTCCTCCCAATATCCCATCTAACCCTGCTCTCTGTGAGTCTGAAGCCATTCCCTCTTGTCCTGTCACTCCATGCTCTTATAAATAATCTCTCTCCATCTTTCCTGTCAACTCCTTCAGGAGGCCACAATTAGGTCACCCCGAAGCCACCTCTTTTCCAGGCTGAACAATCCCAGTTCTCTCAGACTTTGCTCCCAGCAGAGCTGTTCCATCCCT